GGGGCTCCTGGCATCGCTACTAGGAGCAAGGACGCTACTGGGGGCTCCTGGCATCGCTACTAGAAGCAAGGACGCTACTAGGGGCTCCTGGCATCGCTACTAGGAGCACCGCTCAGGAGGTGCGCCACGGTCGGTGGCGACGAGCGCGGAGCTGGGCGTTCGAAGCCTGGGCCCCCCGAGCGCGACGGAGCTCGGTCCGGACTTCAAGAGCTGCCTTGGACGTGGAACGGAAGCGGTTGGAGGCGGTGGGATAAGATGAAAGAGTAGGGACTATAGGGATGAGAATGGTGAAAACTCTTCAGTGTCCCTTGAAAATACTAACAAGTGACTTTTGCATGGCTTACACTATCTTACACTGCCATCGTATATCTTTTGCGCGTACATGGCCCACTGAGATCTCCCCATTCGCTTTCTCACTCCCTTTAACAGAGTCAGGTTCACACATGGGGATGACACAAACAAGAGCTATGGTTTTGTTTGAACTGACCCCTGTCTCAGAGCCATGTCTTTTCCAACACCCGTCTCTAGGCCCACATCAGAAGCCTCATCGCGACCGTCTCCCGCTGTTGCCGAGATGCTCCTCGTCCTCACTGTCGTCCTCCTGACATGGACATGCTTTTCGCAAAAGCGTGGTCTTCAACTGGAATCTACTGGACATTTTAGGACTGTTTGAAGGCCCAACATCAACTGTTCCCGCAAAAGGCGTGCGCTCTTAAATGGGATTGAGGAAGTAGCTTCACCTGCCCCTTCAGCTTCAAATCAAATAGTGTTCCCTTGAATTCGCTAGCAAATGAATGTTCGTGATATGCCAGTAGGTCATTTGAATAGTATTAGAGTCGATGCATCACGAATGCACCGGGGCGCTGGATGCACCTGTTCACCGGAGCAACGGTGTCGGAAAATCCACCCACTGTTGCAACAAGTACTTCATACGACTTCATAGCACCTCTGGAGGCCATCAGGCCATCGCTAGTACGTTGGAGGCCATCGCAAGTACGGGTGGAGGCCATCGCTACTAGGGTGGATGACATCGCTACTAGGGTGGAGGCCATCCCTTCTAGGTTCGAGGCCATCGCTACTAGGGTGGAGGCCATCGCTAGTAGGGGTGGAGGCCATCGCTACTAGGGTGGAGGCCATTGCTATTAGGTTGGAGGCCATGGCTATTATAGGTTTCCTTTGTTATTGGTAGGTTCCTTTTCTCGGAAGTGCCTTGCCAGCTTTGCAAGTTTAGGACTGCAGATTGGGTGCCATGGTAAAGTTTCGTGGCAACTATCACTTTTGGAGGTCCAATCTGACAGTGTCTTCTAGTGTCCAATCTATACTCTGCATGATCTCAAATCAGATCTGCAGTGAACCCTCCAGTGACCATCAATCCACAATGAACCAAAACAATCGCAAGTAGAATGACCAAAACAACAATTCCTGAACCTTCAATCGTAACACGTTTTTCTGGCGAACCAAGGAAATGAGCACTTTTTGGAGTTTCGCAGCGCTTTTTTGATGAAATGAGCACTTTGTAATGTTTTTGATGAAACGAGTAATTTTTTCAAGAATGTTGAACACTGAAGTCTTCTTGGGCCAAAGGTGGAAACCCGCAAAATGCGCGCAAAATGCAACAAAACGTGCGCAAATTGCCGCAAAACGAGCGCAAATTGAAAAAAGGCGAACCACCCGAACATGGGTTGGATATGAGAGGGATCCACGTGCATTTTTTGAGAGTTTGTAGCGCTTTTCTTTGAACGAGCACTTTTGCAAAACGAGCGCTCTTTTTTGTAGCGAAGGAAGCTTCAGGTTATTTTGCACAGGTAGTCCCTCACGACCTCTCGCATCGTCCCTTCTCCGCTGCCTGCCTCAAGTCCTTAACCATCTTAACCCTAACACGTATGGCCTCCAACCTAGTAGCGATGGCCTCTAACCTAATTAGTATCCTATTCAATCAATCTTCTCTACCTCCAACCCTAAATCCTGTATCCAATCGCCGATTCTAAGGGCAGTTTGTTCCGAATATCGGCCATCGCAAGTCTTCTACCTGTTCCAAACATGAAGGCCTTAAACATAGAGTATCAAGTCAGCCCGAAAGAGGATGTTGATCAACACTTGCGTGGCTTCTTGGTGAAAAACCTAAAAATAGACAGGTTTATCCTCGGGACGCCTTCGATTTGATCAATTTGGCCTCATGCATTCAAGGAAAAGACATACTGACAAACATGCATCCACATGCTCATCCATCCCCCGTCCTCGTACAGCATCTCAGGCAGGCTGATCGTCCCTCTCTTGCACCTCAGCGGGAAGCAGCGTTGCGGCTTGCCACAGGGGGCATTGAATAAGTCACGAATCAACCTAAACCCTAAGGCCTCCAACCTAATCACATAGAGGGCCAAAGCATATTGTCAGGGCATCCTTCCACCCTTGTTGGTATCCACCACCCAAGACCTCCAGCTTCTGCATTAGCACACGCATCTGCTCTCCCTTTGGCTAACAAAACCTCGCAGTTCGCTCGCAAACCAGCGCATCTACTGTACTGAATCTGAAAAAAACAAACGCTACTAGGGGCTCCTGGCATCGCTACTAGGAGCAAGGACGCTACGAACAGGGCTCCTGGCCTTACTACTAGGAACAAGGTTCGCTACTAGTAGCTATTTGCTACTAGTAGTAGGGCCAGGAGCTACTAGTAGCATCCTTGCTCCTAGTAGTGATGCCCTTTGTTACTAGTAGCTTCTTGTTATCATGGTTGAAAAATATGCAACTAACCCGACCCGGCGCCACAGAGGAGGCCCCGTCCATTGAATTCAGTTTCTCCGACACCCTTGCAATAGGCTTGAGGTAGTGCCGCCGTGGCTGGTTCCATTTTTGCAAGAGAGGGATGCAAATGTTGCGCACAGTGCTCCATTCCACAGTCTGGATTTGCGAGATCTCACATCATCCACGGTCTCGACCGAATGTCGCCGGTCTTTGCAAACATGGCGCCCAGAAAGCGCAGACTGGACCCTGGTTTTTGGGGTCTCAAATTCGCAACTATGCAAATTGATCCCCGAGCAGAAGCTGGGTTTTCGATGGTTTCCGTAGAAAGTGGCGGCAAACAACGCCACGGCGGCCATTCTATTGATATAGCTTCTTGTTCCTAGTAGCGATGCCAGGAGCCCCTAGTAGCGAACATTGCTCCTACCCCCCCAAATCAACATGCCAATCAAATTGTCCACCGCTTTCGCCACCCGCACCCAAAGTTCAAAGCACTCCCACAACTTTCTCAGCTTTATGAGGGAGCAAAAAGGCGCGTCGCAAAGAGAAACAAACGTTCCACCCAAGAACAAACAAAAAACGCTGCTAGGGGCTCCTGGCATCGCTACTAGGAGCAAGGACGCTACGAACGGGGCTCCTGGCCTGAGTACTAGGAACAAGGTTCGCTACTAGGGGCTATTTGCTACTAGTAGTAGGGCCAGGAGCTACTAGTAGCGTCCTTGCTCCTAGTAGTGAGACCCTTTGTTACTAGTAGCTTCTTGTTATCATGGTTGCCACAAGTCGGGCTTCCGCCAACTCAGTGGTACGCCTATCACACAGAGGAAAAGAACGCTTCCGATTTTAAGAACTGCAGCTGCCAAACTGGTGGAAACCACCAGCCGCTGTAAGCTGGAACAAGAAGCTACTAGGATCAAGGGCATCGCTGCTAGGGGCTCCTGGCATCGCTACTAGGAGCAAGAAGCTACTAGGGGCTCCTGGCCGTACTACTAGGAGCAAGGACGCTACTAGGAACAGAGGGCTGGAACAAGTACGATGAGTTTGGCGGGCATCCTACAGAAAGCATGCAATACTTCTGCTTCCATGAAAGCAGGCTTCGGTTTGGGGAACACTCCTTCGCGAAGGCAATCATCTCTTCTACCCTGATGTTGACAAACCCTCCACGTCTGTCGGTCACGCATTACTACCAGTAGCAGGGACGCTACTAAGTAGTAGCTAGGCCATTACTACTAGAACCTAGTGTATTACTACTAGTAGCAAGGACGCTACTAGTAGCTAGGGCATTACTACGACTACTAGTAGCAAGGACGCTACTAGTAGCTAGGGCATTACTACTAGAAGCTAGTGTATTAGTGCATTACTACTAGTAGCAAGGACGCTACTAGTATATAGCTAGTGCATTACTACTAGTAGCAAGGATGCTACTAGTAGCTAGTGCATTTCTACTAGTAGCAAGGATGCTACTAGTAGCTTGGGCATTACTACTAATAGCAAGGACACTACTAGTAGCTAGTGCATTACAATAGTAGCAAGGATGCTACTAGTAGCTAGGCCATTACTACTAGTAGCAACGACGCTACTAGTCGTTAGGGCATTACTACTAGTAGCAAGGATGCTACTAGTAGCTAGGGCATTGCTACTTAGTAGCAAGATGCTGCTA